AGAGGAGATGGGGAAGAATATACTGTAAAAAAACTCCATCCTTTAGGAAGAGGGGGAGAGGAGAAGGGGGAAAGGTCTGTAAAAGTCACCCTTTGGAGACCGGGGAGGGAAGACGAGGAATCGCAGCGCACCGGTGCCTGTCCGGGGGGACGCCGGGGGGGGCCACCTACCAGTTCACCTCGGTGGCATCGTCCCTGACGAGGTTGTACGCCTCCCTGCACGCCTCCTTGTCGATTTTGGTGGCCATGGAGGCGAAGGGGAAGGGAGGGGGAGTGCGGAGCGGCCGCGGAGTTGGGGGACCGCCGCCGCCGCTGCAGCCGCACCTCGCAGAGCCGAGCCGAGCAGAGCCGCGCCGAGCCGAGCCGAGCCCAGCCGAGCCGAGCCCCGCTCCCGAGGCCGTCCCGCCTCCGCCGCCGCCGCCGCCAATGGCTCGGCTGGTCCTGCCCCTGCCCCCCCAGCCCCGCCCGGCCCGGCCCGGCCCCGGCGCGGGGGGATCGCGGTGATGCAATAGAGCCCGGGCACGGGGGGCGCCGCCGGAGGGGCCCGACCCGCCGCAGGGATGCCTTCTGCGGCCGCCGCCGGTTTTCCAGCCCCCCGATGCTTTCCCAGCCCCTGACGGACGGGAGGAGGAAGGAGGCAGAGGCGGCGCCCGGGATGGAGCAGCCGCCGGCGGCGGAGCCGGGCCGGGCGCTCGGGAGGTAGCGCAGAGCGGGGCAGGTGAGCGGGGGGCGAGGGGGCGGCGGGCGGGGGCGGCTCCGGGCCGAGGCTGAGCGATGGGGGCCGCGCCGGGGCCGCAGAGCAGCGGGGACCGCCGGGCCGAGCATCCCGAGCATCCCCGCACCGCCGCGGGGGAGCGGGGAACAGCCCCGGCTCAGTCCCTGCGGGTGTCCCCGGCCTCAAACGGGGCCTGGGGGGGTGACTCGGCGTGGGGACACCCCGCTGCTGGGTCAGGGGTGTGCGCGGGCGCTGGGTCTGTGTGTCTGTGTGTGTCCCTGTGTGTCTGTGTTCATGTCTGTGTGTGTGTGTCGGTGTGTCCATGTCTCTGTGTGTCAGTGTGTTCAGCCCGTTTCAATGCAGCGATCTCCCCCTGCCGGGCTCCCAGCGCTGCCCATGAACATTCCCGCATCTCCCCGAGTCACTGCGCTCCTGGGAAATGCGAGCTGTCAGGCGGAAGCGTTGCCTTAAGGCTGCGCTTCAGTCCCGCAGGAATAGAGACAGGGCTTTGCTTTGCTGAACTCGGCTGGAAATAAACATCACCAGATGATGTTGTGCCCAAGGACCGGAGTTTTACAAACCAGCCCTTGGGCGTGTTAGTGGGCTTCTAACCCTAAACCTGGGGGTCCGGATTTGCAAATTCAATAAAAACTACGTTCCATGATAAAGAAGCATCACAGTTTGTTTCTCTTAAAGTTTGCAGGGGATGTTCATTGTTTATTTCACATCAGCGTTTTCAATGTGAAGGCTGAGCAGTGAGAAACCTCATTACCACACAATTACTGATTGTTGTCAGACATCTCAGGGGACAAGATCTCCAGAGCAGGCACTGACTGTCAGACACCCTTTAGTGCCACAGTCCTGCACGCAGCTTCTTCCAGCTCCATTCCAGCCCCTGGATGACGTGAGGCTCCTGGAGCACCAGGGCCAAAACACATGAATTGCTGCAGTGCCTCTCTGATGTGGATGAGGTCATAGGGAAGAGAGAAATATCTCTGAAGTCAGTACAAGTGTAGGACACTGGGTGAATCACACTCAGTATCTGTAGGCTGCAGGCTCTAGATGATAATATAATCACACATTAATAGTTCTGACTTTATATTGATCTTCTTTTGGAACTGTTTTTAGGAACACTTTCATTTTTTTACAAGCCTTTATGCTGGCTATTATCTGCTCCTAAACATGTTTTTTGTAGTCTGCATTTATCATCCATTGGCACTTGCTGCTGTTTATACCTGTAACGGCTGCTGGTTGTCCTTGTTCCCTTCAGGCTTGATCCTCAGCTCCTGATGTTTCCCGGAGCAGAGGTGGGTGACTCCAATGTCATTCCCCTGAGGAGGAGAAAACCTCACCCTCGTGCAGGTCTCTGTGACCCAGTGACTGGAGCATTTGAATTCTCTTCACTGGGGACTTTGTGCCTCACGCTTTTCAGTGCCAGACTCAAACCTTAGAAAAATACACATCTTCCTTGTGGGACCAAACCTCTTCTCTTTGTTTCTCTTCCCTATCTTTGACACTTTTTCATGGATTTTTTTCTTTTAAGGCATGGAGAAATAAATACTGTGCTGAGTTTCGTCAGGCAGTAACTGGAAAGGGGAAATTACCTACATTTCTGGCTTTGGTGAGCTCTGATTTGCTTGTCATATGGGAATTTTGATACCTCCAACACATAGGTCTTTTCATCTGTGCAGGAAGATGTCACTGGCCTGGCAGAAGCATCTGTCCATCGCACAGGAGCCCTCAGAGAGGAAATACAGACAACAGAGAAAGTGAGGACTTACGGACTTCCTAAAAAAAACATCTCCAGCAGGCATGAAGTCTTGTGAATCTGGAGGACTGACCTTCAACTGTCTAGGCTGTATAATGAAGTTCAGAATACTTGGAGGCAGCTGAGCAAACAGGGTGGTTCTGCACAGCCAAGGGTTCCCAGGAGTCTTATCTTTATCCTAAAGTGCACCTCTGCTAGTGCCTTGCACTCTTGGCTCTTTGCCATCTCCCCTTTTTGCTTCTTTTCTGATCTTTCTATCTGTCTGTCCCCAGTCCTGCTTCTCCATCTGTGTCTTTTCTGTGCAGGAGCAGAGAAATTAATGGAGAGAATAATACCCTCTGTCAGGAAGAGGCTGATGTGAATTTTCGGATCATGGTCAGCATTAGGGTTTACAATTTATGGATCACAGCATTAGGGTTATCAAGCAAGAAGGATTTTACTCAGACAGTCGAGGTGTTGAGGGTTCTTAGCCTGGGTCCCCACGGTCAGAAGGGCTACAGAAGCGGAGAAAATGCTTCTCATGTTCAGACTCAATAATCAATTAGATGAGTAGAAGCCCATCATCACTTCTGGTTCCTTGGGGGTGTCTGAGGAACAGGCAGAGCTGCCTGGTACCTGCAGTGGAGGTGGGATGAGGCCAGGGCAGGTGGAGGTGCTGACACCCAGGCAGCCCTGGCACACTCCCCTGTTCTAACACTCCATACACATCATCTTCTGCCAGCAACAGCTGCCCCGTCACCACCTGGGACACGTGTCCAAGCTGAGCTGCCCTTGGTGACAGCACACAGAGCCTGGACACACACAGCCTTCTGCTGGCAATAACCTCTGGATGATACCCAGGAGTGCCGAGCTGGCAAAGGGCTTTTTCACTTGTAGTGTTGTGTTGGGCACCACTGCACTGAAACGGGACCAGGCAGGTCTGAGTACAGTGTCTTTGCTTCTTACTTCACCTCTGAGACAGGAGCAGCCTGATGTTTACCAAGGCGTTTTTTATTCATTTTTAAGCCTTCTGGGCCTAAGCAGCAAGGAAAAGCCCCCCAGCAGCACATGCTGCTGGGGAGGTGCGTTTTCGAGGTCAGGCAGTTTCATGGCCAGGTAAGCAAGAGGAGATGGCAATGGGGCTTCTCGCTGCACCTCACTGCACACCCCCACACCCACCGCAGAGCTCATCAGCGCTGTACAAACGCACATTTGCTCCCCGCAGCAAGTGCCCCTGGCACGGGTACCCTCGGCCGCCCCGTTACGGGTACCTGTGCCTCGCCTTGCAGGCAGGGAACAGCCTCGGGATGTGCGATCCGCGCACCCCCTTCCCAGGGCAAGGAACAGCCTCAGGATGTGCAATCCATGCATCCCCTTTCCCAGGGCAAGGAACAGCCCCAGGATGTGCGATCCGTGCATCCCCCTTCCCAGGGAAAGGAACAGCCCCGGGATGTCCTGTCCGCGCATCCCCTTTCCCAGGGCAAGGAACAGCCCCAGGATGTGCGATCCATGCATCCCCTTTCCCAGGGCAAGGAACAGCCCCAGGATGTGCGATCCATGCATCCCCCTTCCCAGGGCAGGGAACAGCCCCTGGGTGCCCTGTCCGCGCATCCCTCGGCCCGCAGCGCATCCCCTCCCGCGGGTCCCCGGCACCTCCCCCGCCCCGCCCCGGAGCCTCCCCCGCTCCTCCCGGCCCCGCTCCGGTCCCGCCCCGCCGGCATTTCCTGCCCCGGGCCCGGGGCGAGGGAGCCTCCGCCTGCTGGAATTTATCCCTGCTTTGTTTTCCCCGCTTTTTTTTTTTTCCGCCCGGATTTTCCTCCCCCCCAGCCGATGTAGCCGCCGGAGCGGGGCCGGGGCCGGTCGGTCAGCGCGGCCCGGGGAGCTCCGGCCGGCCCCGGGCACCAGCGGTGAGTACGGACCGGCCTCGCTAACACCGCGCTGGGCTGGGCTGGGCTGGGCTGGGCTGGGCTGGACCCGCCGCACGCCCAACTTGTTGACACCACCGACCTCTGACAGCACCGGGGAGCAGCATCAAGGGGCGAAAAAACCGTAATTTTTAAACTCGGGCATCCCCAAGCTGCAGATTAGAACGCGCCGGTCTCGTAATTCGGCACAAAACGGAGAGTTTTTTTTAGCGGTCTGAAGGGGCTGATACAGTGGTAACATCTCCTGTGCCTTTGTTGCAGGAGTGCTGCGGCTCGGCCGGTCATGGAGGGAACCCGGCAGAGCAGGATCTGCCGCCCGCACAAGATCAGCGAATCCTCAAAGGTTCGTACGATTTGTGTTGCTACCAAAAAATTCCGGTTGCAGTAACAACAAGGAGGGGCAGGGGGTGGGTGGGGAGGTAGAGGGTCTCCTTTGGATGGGCTGATTTTTGGAGGAATGTGAATATTCTGAGCTTTTAAAAAGAGGTATGGAAGCGGTGGTTTACCTGCTCAAATATTTTTGGTGGAAGAAGTTGCTGCCTAGTAACTGAAAAAAAAAAAAAAAAGCAAAAAAAAAAAGCAGCAGCAGCAAATGGGCATCTGCTCATCGTGACTCATAGCTTAGAAACCCACATCATTGCAGCACAGTAGTTTCTCTGTACCAAAAATTCAGTCATTAAATGTGATGTGTTTATTTGGGGAATTTTTGTAATTTTTGTACTGATCCATCTCGTAAAATCCAAGCTTGTTAGAGAAGCAAAGCTGAGATTGCTCCTTAGGTTCAGTCTCAATTTTGTACGTGATGGGAGCCTTGATTCTGCAAACAGTGAGCTCATGGAATTGGTGGTCATTTCTTAGGCTTGTGATGTCAGTTTTCTTTGTATCAAATCTGTCTGCACACATACATTGTTTTTATTTGTGAATTCTCGGAAATCCATCTTAGGCAGCTCTTTATGCAGGTCATCAGGGTGATTTATCAGATGGTAATATCAGCTGTAATTCCCGTGTTCACTGTGTTTCATACCAGTGCAAGCTGCTTTTCTGTTGCAGTGCAAGCTCTGGATAACAGGAGCTTCAGAGCAAGGACTTTGTGCTGCCAAAAACATCCGGAAAAGAGAAACTTTTCAGTGCCTGTGTCTGTCTTATCAAAGTTGAATGAGCCAGATCTCATTTTCTTTTGCACCACTGATGAGCAGCAGTACTGCATTAAGAGTCTGAGAGAAATTAGATCTTTGAATCCAAAAGAAGTTAAAATACTGCTCTAATACAATTGATAAAAGATAAATTGGACTAATTTTTAAATGCATCCCTACCAACATAATCTTTCCCTGAGTGCTGATCCTGTCTGTCACTTAAATGGTTTAGTCTGAATGTAATGATAATTCATCACATTAAAAATTAATTAGCTTGACAGCATTGTTTTATTTTCTTGCTTAGACAGCAGCTGTCACTATCTGTTAAACTTAGAATTACTAGATAATGCTAAAGCTGTTCTAGAGAATATAAATAGCTTGAGAGAGATGTTCACGTTAAGTGTAAAATTAGTCTTGGTTTTGGAATGTGCAGCTCTCAGCTCCTGTAAGTTGCTCCCTGAATGGACTTGCTAAGTGGCTCAAATATGTTAATGTATTCGAGTCCATCCAGTGCCGGGGGTGATGGTTCCATGCCTGATTTCTGAAGGAGCAGCAGTTCTACGTGGCAACAAGGATTTCAGGAGCACAAGTTGTCGGGAGTATTTGCGGTCAGGATTATGCTGCTGACTCAACATCCAGCTCCGTAAATAGGGATCTCTGGCAAATCTTATATTCTGGTGTAATCTTGTTAGGCGTGATGGTGGTATTACAGAATATTAGAGGGAAATGATCAGCCAGTTTCCAGGGATGAGAGGGAATATGGTTTTGGTTCAATCCAATAACTGTCCCCATGAGTCAGATTCGGGAGAGGGGGCTGCAAGTTGTTACTTCTTGTCTGTTCACCCACTGTCCTTGATCACAGTTGCCACAGAAGTGTGGTTTATCCTCTGCCATATTTATTCTTCCTCCTACCTTCTCCATCCTCCAGTTTCTGCTTGGACTCCTGTACAATACCAGCTTTTCTCAGCCTCAGAAAAACAAATAAAAAACTTTACAGTCCTTAAACCTATATTTTTTTCTTGTTACAGATCCCTGGCAGTTTTATTCCTCAGCGGAAGCTACTTTGTTGTCCATGCCATAGATCCCTTTTTAAGTTCAGAGATATGATGAGTATACAGCAAATTGAAGAGTTTTGACCCAGAAAACTTATAATTATTGAAGCCTCTTTGCTTAGATTGGTTTAACTCTGCACACTTGCATGCCCAGAGTCACTCCAACAGCAGGATTTTTGGCAGCTGGGACTCCATTGTTTAGAAAAGAACATAAGGAAATACAGAGAAACCACTGGGATGCCACGCTAAGAGCAGCACATTTGGTTGTTAATTTGGGTCTCAGAAAGACCCCTTGGCTCTAGGACTCCAGTCTTTTCTATCCAGCTGTGTAGAGAGGGTCTCACCATGATTTAGCCAACCTGTGAATGGCCTAGACAGACAGCAGTGATCATGTGCTTTCCGCTTGGAAAACCAGGAGAGCCACAGATATAATTAGGATTTCTAGGAGAAGCAACAGTTTGGTGGAGGAAAGGTGGAATGCCTGGGAGGCTTGAAGAGACCTCAGGTCACCTGTGGGACTGTGTTCAATGTGGATGTGGACTGAGACACCTTTTCAGGGTGTCACCTCTGGGAATGCAGCCTGAGGGTGTAGGACTGGGCAAGACCCAGGACCCTGCAGCCAGGACTGTTCAGAGCTGACTTAGGTTGGATACAAGGATGTGCTTCCATTCCACCTCCTTTCATTTCTCCTACATGTTCTTACAGGCTCTGCAACTCTGCCTAGTTTGGATTTGGTAATTAAAGTTATGTATTTGCATTTAACTTAACCTGGCTTTTATTAAGAGAGGTCAAAAGGTAACTGAAGCATTTAATTCCTCCAAAGGATGGTCCTAAAAGTAACAGCACTTGACATGCTGGGGTGACCAGCCCCTTTGTGTTCTGCAGGACATTTGAGGGATAAAATGTTTCCATTTTAGTTCATCTTAAGGCTGAGAAAGAGAGAAAGAGACAAATGCTGGTTGCCTAAAAAGCTCTGTGGCACATCCAGAGCTGATGGGAATAATGTCTGGACCAGAGGGATCCCAAGAGGGCACTTAATGGATGTGTTCTGAAGGCATTTTCTCCTTTCTTTAAAAGAAAAATATCTAGTCATGTTCATTAAAACAAATCTACCTCAGCTTCTGGAAGCAAGCAGAATTCTTGTGGGAATGAGTTATCCACATGTGTGGCTTTGCACATAAATAAACAGCTATTGCTTCTGAGTGCAGTGCGTGTGCCTGGAATAATATGGAAAGAAAGAGGGGGATTTTTTTCCTAGCAAGCTTAGAAATGCAGAGTTCTGGAAAGATTTAAGAGGGGGTAGCTGTCAAGCACACACCAACCCAAACAATACACGGGCAGAATGAAAATTCAGAGTACTGCTGCATGTGTCTCTCCCACTCCAAATGTTTAGTGAGTAGCTTAGCTGAGGGAACTCTGTAAGGAGTCATTTGAGGGACAAGGAAGAAAGGAAATGTCAGCAAGATGTCTCAGAGACAATGAGTGGAAGAGTTTCAGAAAATCATGCCTGTATAACTCATCAGGGAGGGGGGTTCAATGCAGCATTGTGGGGGAGGGAGGAGAATATTATAAAAAAAGTGGAGTAGGAAGCAGTCAAAGTCTCTACAGGCCTTTCAAAGCGAAGGTGAGGAGCTCCAGCTCGTACTCCGTTGCTTGCCAACTGTTTCAAGTCAGAATTTTTTATAAATGTCAATGTGCAGCACAGAAAAGCTTTCTCTGTCTCATGTATGACTCCATTTAGTGGGAAAATACATTTCAGACTGAAATTTAGCCTGATGGAGGTCTGACCTGCCTGATGATGCTGTTTGTGTTTTCCAGGTGTACCGGTGGGATGACCACTCCAATCTAGTTCTGCAGAGCCTGAATGAGCAGAGGCACCGAGGCCTCTTCTGTGACATCGTCCTGGTGGTGGATGAGCAGCGAGTCCCTGCCCACCGGAACCTCCTGGCCGTGTGCAGCGACTACTTCAACTCCATGTTCACCATCGGCATGAGGGAGGCCCACCAGAAGGAGGTGGAGCTTTTTGGAGCCTCCTACATTGGCCTGAAGGCTGTGGTGGATTTCCTGTACGGCAGCGAGCTCTCTTTGGATGGAGGCAACATCGACTACGTGCTGGAGACGGCTCACCTGCTGCAGATCTGGAAGGTGGTGGACTTCTGCTGCGAGTACCTGGAGAACGAGGTCAGCGAGGAGAACTACCTGTACCTGCAGGAGCTGGCCTCCATCTACAACCTGAAGCGCCTTGACTCCTACATCGACTCCTTCATCCTGCAGAACTTCGGCACGCTGTCCTTCACCCCGGACTTCCTGCAGAACATCTCCTTGCAGAAGCTGTGCCAGTACCTGGACAGCAGCAACGTGCAGCAGGAGTGTGAGCACGACTTGCTGCAGGCCGCCCTGCAGTGGCTCACCCAGTACCCGGAGCGGGAGAACGAGGCTTACCAGGTCCTGGACAACATCCATTTCCCTTTGATCCCGAAGAGCGACCTCCTGCACCGCGTCAAGCCCGCCGTGTGCTCCCTGCTCCCCAAAGAAGCCAACTGCGAGGGGTTCATCGAGGAGGCCGTGAACTACCACAACAACGTGACGGCGCAGCCGGTGCTGCAGACCAAGCGCACGGCCCTGCGCACCTGCGAGGAGCGGCTGCTCTTCGTGGGCGGGGAGGTGTCGGAGCGCTGCCTGGAGCTCTGTGATGACACCTGCTTCCTGGACACCAGGAAGGGCCAGTGGGTGGCAGAAACCCCTCTCCCTGCCCGGCGGAGTCACCACTGTGTTGCGGTCTTGGGAGGCTTCATCTTCATAGCCGGAGGCAGCTTCTCGCGGGACAATGGAGGGGATGCGGCGTCAAATCTGCTTTATAGGTATGATCCCCGCTGTAACCAGTGGATAAAGGTGAGACTTAAGCTGTATTATTTCTCTGTTCAAAGTCCTTAATGTTTAGAGTGTTTTCTCCTTTTTTTTGGTGAAAGGACAGGGCTCGTTAAAATAGTCAACATGGCAGTGCTTGCCAGTGGAAATTGAAGTTATTTAAGTTGAGAAAGCAGCTACTTGAGTCCTTTGTGGGAATTCTTAAGTTACACAAAGAGCAAAAGAGTTTGGGGCAGATACTCAGCTTCACTTGGAATTTGGGCATCTCATCAGTGGAATTCCTGAATCAGCATCCACCTGCAGCTTCCTTCTGGGAATAATGCTGGAATGGACTTACAGGTGATTGCTTAGTTCATCTTTCTCAAGCAGCAGTAACATACAACTAAATAAAAAATGGGTCTGACGTAAAAAGAAAATGTCTCTGACACTTGTCAAGTGTCTCTGAGCTAAATGTCCCTTAGAACAAGTTCTTCACTTCCAGCCCTGCTGCAAAACCCTGCAGCTGTGTGGGTTCCTGTAGGAACCAGTCATCGTTCCTGTAGGACTCAGTCATCCTGGGTGGCTCAGTTGTGGTTCTGAGTGATTCCAACATGTTCCTTGCAGAGTTTGGGAAGGAGGTCCATGTAACACAACTATTTATAGAGTAGCCTGTGTCTTAGATGCTTCCCGTTGTCCCCTTGTTGGAAAATGGATGCTGTGTAACAAGCTACTGCAGAAAAACAAGTCTTTCATGAATATAATGGTCAAAACCAGTGGCTCTCCTTTCCAAATAAATGGGAAGAAGCAACTACCCTGTCCTCAGACACGAATATACCTTAAGTCACTCTCTTCCCAGATGCTGGAAGATGTCAGTGTGTTGTTTGCTTTGCCAGGTTGCCTCCATGAGACAACGGCGAGTGGATTTCTACCTGGGAGCCATCACTGACATGCTGGTGGCTGTTGGTGGCAGGAATGAAAACGGGGCACTGTCTTCAGTTGAGACCTACAGCCCTCAGAAGGACTCCTGGACCTACATAGCAGGACTGCCCAGGTAACAGGGGTGTGTGGAGACATTCCCTGCATTTGAAGAAGGGTGGTAAAGGGAGGTTGTGTGAGCACTGTTCATATCTTGATCAAAGGTATTTATAATTTCTTTGGCCTTACTTTGTCACCTTGGTGTGATGGTTTTCCTTGTAAGGTGTTTCTCTGTGTTGGGCTGTTGCAGATAAACCACATTTATCTGTATTGCAAGTAGATAACCCTGGCAAATGTGAGCTCTCTCTCTCTCTCTCAGTTGAGTTAAAACTTGGCTGTTCTACTTTTGAGAGGCTTTAGCACTGCAGCTCTTCTGGTGACAGCAAACAGGACATTGCTGGTGTCTTGCATCAATGTTGGGTCAGTGGCTTTATAAGAACGGTCTGACAGTGTTTTGTTTGCAAACAGCTACTCAGATTTAGGGATATTTCACATTTGTGGGAATTACAGGAATGTTGGCTCTATGGGTGGTGTTTGCATGCTGTCTGAAACCTGCAACTTCAGCAGCAGTGCTGGCTTTCCTAGTGGCATCACAAACCAGGTTCCTGCAGTTGGGTTTGAGAGTTCAGGGCTTTTTTTCCCTGGTTCCCTCAGCTACAGAGCTGCAGAGCCAGAGGCAGCCAGTGAAGGCACAGAAGCCTGTTGCCCAATTCTATTTTGGGCAGGTGCTGCAATGCGAGGCTGATCCAGGCTAACAGCTGGGCTCGAGGGCTCTTCACAGGCAGGGTGCTTTTCCTGCTTTATTTCTGCTCACATAGGCAGATCCAGCAGTTGAGGCTCAACACCACAGTGTGCAGGGGAGTATCTTCAGGTCCTAAATTATTCTGTTAATTGGGGTCACCTGTGAGATATATCCTGTATGGATATTTTTACTCATAAATGATCCTGGGGATGATTGCACTGTTGGTTTAACCCACCCAGACTGCAAGCTGTCTGAAAAGTTTGTGTGTTCCTGCTGCTATCTGTGTGTTGGCTTTGGGAATTCTGCAGCTGCAGCACTTAAAGTGAACTTTGACACGTGGGTGTTAATTTTTTATTGGATTGTCTGGCTGGTCTGCTTGGATGAGGCAAAAAATCCCCCTTAGGGGAGAGACCCTTCTTATTCTGGTTGTACAGTGACTGGGATAAGTTACTGCTGCATCCAAAATAAATTGTTCTGCATCCTCTCATACTACTTGTGTCAGCTCAGGTGTTTGTGCAGGTGTGTAGTGAACTAGATAGTTTCCCACTTTTCCATGTAGCTGCTCTTGCACATTGATATGTCTTTAGTTAGATCTTAATGGACTCTTGTCACCTTTGGAACTTTGGTCTTTTCAGCCCTTTTTCTCCCTCTGGAGAACTCTCCTGCTGGGCAGTGTGTTGTTTGCAACCACTATTTTCCTGCACAGAAGGAATAAGGCAAAAAAGAACTTCATGCAGGGTGCAAATGGCAAAAATCAGCACAGAGGTGGGCAACAGGAACCTTTGTGACACACGACCACTGCTCGAGCTCGGCAGGGAGCAGCTCTGGCTGGTGTGGGGCTGCTGGAAGGGGTCTGGGCAGCACTTTCTCAAGGTACTTCAAGTGGACCTGTTAGACCAAGTCCAGAGGAGGCCACCAAGATGATCAGAGGGATGGAGCACTCCTCCTATGATGAAAGGCTGAGAGAATTGGGATGGTTCAGCCTGGAAAAGAGGTTTTGGGATGACCTAATTGTGGCCTCCCAGTACCTGAAGGGGCCCGCAAGAAAGATGGAGAGATGGTTTACAAGGGCCTGGAGTGGCAGGACAAGGGGGACTGGCTTCAAACCGACAAGGAGTAGGTTTAGATTAGATATTAGAAAGAAATCCTTCCCTGTGAGGGTGGGGAGGCCCCGGCACAGGTTGCCCAGAGAAGCTGTGGCTGTCCCATCCCTGGAAGTGTTCCAGGCCAGGCTGAACGGGGCTTGGAGCAACCTGGTCTAGTGGAAGGTGTTCCTGCCCATGCAACAAGATGAATTTTAAGGTCCCTTCTAACCCAAACCATTCTATGATTTTGTGGAAGAAGCATTCTGGCCACAGTTCCTGCCGTGTACCCCAGTCTTCCCTTCAATGCCCTCTTGATCTGATTTCTGTTTTCCTCCTCACCTCATGCTTTTGTTCCTCAAACAGGTTTAAGTTCCTGTTTCACCCAAATAACATCTTCCCCAGCCCTATTCTAGCAGTAAGACTTTTAATGTTGAGGAAACCAGAAGCTCCAATCCTCTGCTTCCTGATAGACCGAGGCAACATGTCCCACCATAGCTGCCTCATTTCCTGCATTTTTCTGTCTTCTTCCCTCTGAAGAGAACACCTGCTGGTGTTTTGGTCCTCATGGGTGTGTGGCCACCAGAAGCAGGCACTGCTGCACCTCTCTTGGTGTTCCTGACTGCTCCAAGCCAGCAACTGCCTGGAAGACTCTTCCCTGGAGTGACAGGCACGCGCTGAGGTCATTCTGGGGCGTGAGCTTGTGTAGTGGGATGGGACTTTCCGAGGTTGTTTGTTAAAGCTTCTACTCTGAGCATCCAGAAAATGGGTTTATTTTTTTTTCTTTCCATGTGTGTGGAGATTTTCAGGGGAAAGGCGGTGCTTGTGTCCTTGAACACACATGCCTCTTACCACTGCCAAATCCCGTGTTCATGTTGCTGTCCCCGGTCACGCTCCTCTGAGGAAGAGCTCTGCAAGCTCTTTTTTATCTCCTCTTCCCCCCACCTCCTTCCCACCCTACATGGTCAAAACAACACGTTGTTTTCCCTAACCACTTTCTTGGAAGGAGCTGAGCTGTTTTGACTGAACTAAGGCTGCCTTACTGGAGGAGAAAACAGCCTCTCGGGGCAGATGCTTAAGTGGAAAACTTCAGCCAAGATGTCTAAAGGGTGGACCTGGTCCAAGTCTGCTACAACTGAATTTATTTTGCCTTGATGCTCATTAGGGTCCTTGGGTGTGGGATGCCTTTCCCTTTCTTCAGAGAGTCCTGTGTTTTTCACCCTTTTCCCAGGCTCTCTGGGAGCAGTCTCTGCCATAGTTTCTAGCCCGGCAGGGAGCAGCGGTGG